AGTAAGCTCATGATAAACTCATTATTTGGGGATGCTTTGTTATCTTTTTCCTGTAAATGATGGATGATTCTAAGGTCACTGAAAATGTAGCAAGGCCAAATCGCAGATGAAGTAACAAACCAGAACTGGAAACTGAAAGTTAACGGCAGTTGGATAACAGAGATGATATATTAGCGTGCTTTTAGTCTTCTCTTAGTTATTAACAAACTAGTAAGGGTTCACAATGCATGTTTTATTTAAGTGTGCAAATAAGGGTATGTTGACACTGATACATGAGAAGACAGTCAGTTATTTGACAAAAAATAAAAAGGCTGTCTTGACAGGAAAAGGATAATACAGTTTTGGCTTCCTCTAATGACTCTAGTTAAATATCACCAAGCAGATAGTACAGTAATATTACCTTAATTAGAAAATAGAATTTGACAATACAGAGGAAAACAAATGCGAAGTATGGCAGAGACTGAGCAATTGCAGTCAATACAGTGTTGTCAGACCTCAGCAGATGTGATCTGATATTTCTAACAGCCTTTGGTAAGACTCTTATCCATTATCCAGTTGTATTTTTCTAGTAAGTGTCTGTTCTTCTGTTTTAAAGAACACACTTCTCAAGATTTTTTTTTTCTGTTTCAGAGGTGTGGATTAGTAACAGCACTTGCTCATGTCATTAAATCTACATCTGATACATCTAGGATGTAGCCCATTTATGGATATTAAAACGGCTCTTTCATGAGAGACCAAAGATAAAAATAGATAATGGGTTGCCTCCAGTGCTGGCTGATAGTGCCTGTTGTAATAGTAAGAGCAAAGTCTGGGGCAAGAAGCTTGTAACTTGTATTGTTTCCCCATAATGCTTCCCCAGACTCCAATGCTGTGAAACTTTTGAGCTAAATGTTGTGTCTTTGTATTTCTCTTGTGAAAATCTTTCATTTACTTTTTGTAAGGAGGTAAACTCTTAGTTTGAACAATATCACAGCATAATACAAGTTGTTAGTTTCATTTTGTTTTAAACTCGCTGCTCACTATCTTCATTTGATGTTCATTCTCCAACATCTCCAAGCCACTCAAGATGTTAAAGACTATGTTTATATACTCAGTCATGTATTCTGGGCTGAAAAGTTATGATCTGTTTTGTTGTTTGTTTAATCTACACACTCAGTCGTCATTTTCCCCCCCCCCCCCCCCTTTACTGCATTCATGTCAGGTAGGACTATTATTTTCTAGGATACGGAAGACTTAAAGATCACATTTTGGGTAGTCAGTCTGCATTTATTCAGTGGCCACTTGTCTGGGATTTCCAAACCTCCAGCCTTTGCCTAAAGCTGCTCTTTTCTGCCAAGGAATATTTTTAATGGAGCTACTGTCCCACTTGGTTTGCTGCAGGTCTGGAAATTCTGGACAAGTTCAAAATGTTCAGATTCTGCCTGGACATGTTACCACAAAACCTGGAATAACAGATAGTACTATTAGCATGTATGGCCACTGTCTACAGTGCATCTCTTATGTTGTTTTACTAGTTACCCCACTGGAAGCTGCTTCTACTGACCAAAGGTTCCTTACCAGTACCCCTGAAAAATAGTTAGTACACTGAAAACAATGCTTTCCACTTCTCACAATATTCAGTAGACTTCACTAAGCAAAAATCGACTTAGATCTTGGCAATGTTACAGCATGTTGCTGCCAGAAAGTCCAGGATGCTTTTTCACAAATCTCAGTGAGCCACTTGCCACTCCCTCCTGGTTGACCACCAGCAAGTGAGAGTACAGGACAGGATAACAAAACTCCACAGAAGTGGAGGGGGTGCCTGGAAGATGATGCATTGGTGCTGAAGATTGAGTATTAACTCCAGACACAAATCTTGAGAAAACATGGTAACTTATGCTGGTCATCCGAGCTGCAGTTGCTGTATTTAAAGCTTTTGAAGATTTCTGCCTGGACTTAGTAACCAGTCCCCAGTGTTGACATATAGTCCCACATGTTGATGCTAATCCCTCCAGCTCAAAACCTCTCCTTATTGCAGAAAGATCAGTCTCATTTGCAACTGAAGCTGGCCTCCATTCGTGTCATGTGGTCCTGCAGGTATTAGTTCCTCATAGCTATCGTGCAACAGCAGTGATGCCAGCTCTTGTTGGGCATCTCTGTCCACAAGCATGCCCTGGGCTCGCCAGTATACCCACAGCCCACTGATGGGCAGGCAGAGAAGCTGTACAGGAAGGAGCAACAGGCCCCATAGTCTCAAGACGGAGGTAAAGATTAGCAAGAAAGAGCCTAGAGAGAGTTGCTTTTGTGTAATGGATCCTTAAATGGTGATGATGGCTGTGTAAGGAAACGGCTCCTCAGTGCAATGTGTGAGGGAGCACACATTCCTCAGTGCAATGTGTGAGTCCCCACTCTGTAGTGACTGGGTGGTAACCACTGTTTTCAAAGCAGGTGGAGATGGTTCCCTGAACACATCCCTCCAGATTCCAGCGATCCTTGGTCAAGGCCTGAGCAATTCAGCCGTAACCAAGTTGGTTTGTGTCATAGCACAGACTAAAATGGCAGCACAGCTAAGCTTTGATGGAGACTGGAGCTTCCTGCAAGAAGTTGAGGCTTAATGTACAATAATTTGACCGTTGTAGGGAATATGTCATCGCTGACCTGTTAAGTGATCTTGTATGCTTGTTTGTTTTGTGCTACAGACTGAATAATGATGAAGCTGCAGCATAAATAATTTTAGGATATCTTGTGAGTGAGATGAAAGACCTTTACAATATCTGTATTTTAGTTCCCTATGTTGCGAAGTGGAGATGAGGAATGATTGAAATGTAAAGGCTGAATTTTCATGTGTTACACTGGTTTACAATTTCAACTAGTTTTTGCAATTTTGTATATTATAGGATGCTGTCTGCCTGTGTACATTTAATTAATAGATCCAGTTTTTACTTTGTAAACAGATTTTTAAAAAATCCTCCATGCTTGTATGTTCATTCATTTGGAATCCTGATTTGCTAGACTTATAACACTATCACATTGTTTGACAGTACATTGTACTACAAGGAAGATCTGACGTGGACTTTACAACTGTCTGACCTTATCTACACCATCAACAGTAGTCCAGAAGTCAAAGAATCTTGGATTCTGCTTTCGTCTTGTCTCTAGGGAAACCATGGCAGTTTTGGTTAGAGATACCTGAAGCATACTAAGTCTGAAACATAGTGGGGCCAAATAGCTAATCCTTGAGCTAATTAAAATATGCTGGCATAGCAAGACAAGTACTGGCAAACTCTGAGTGTACACAATTTATGCAAGCAAAAGGTTAACTGGAACAGATTAAATAAACTGTACTGAAAAAGCAGGTTTTGCTAGTGGAATAATGGTGTTGGAATAAACCTGTCTACATTGTACATAGCACCAAGATGCTTATGAAAAATAGTAACTTACGTCTTCATGAACATTAATTTAAAATACATATGAAGGTAGTAAGATACACATCCAAACCCCACTCGATGGGAATCAACAGTAGGTGAGTTATACTAAAATCATAGGTTCAAGCGCACTAAGCTATAAAAATAAGATTTGACTATTGTGAGGGCAAAAAGGTAGCATAAAATGTGTGTTTTAATGTGTCCTTACATAAGTCATAGGTTTTTATTGTAGCAAACAGATGCGCAAATGTTTGCCTTAAACATTTCTTGGCATTTTACAAACCCCCAGCTTGGTCAGAAACAAGACCAGTTTCTGGCCCTGTGTGGCAAACTGGTAAGTGCCAGAGGGAATGTGGTAGAGAGAAGCAGCAGATGCCTCAAACAGCCTTGGCTTGAATATACATGAGATCAGGAGTCTTGCGAAGGCAGGATGGCCTTGTCTTGCAGCGTGTCTCCCAAGGAGACTGGGCAATCACATATACTAATGAGGATGAGAGTAAACAATGAACTATCTCTCTCTCTACTCTCCCCTCTCCCTCCCCCTCTCCTTCCCTCTCTCTCCTCCTCCCCTTCTCCCTTTTCTCACTAAGTAAATGCAAGGTCTATCATTGTGTTTACTTAGTTTATGCTTAAGCTTCTTTCTTGTAATATTTAAGTATATGGCCTGTTATAATTTGTTCTATGTCCTTTTCCCTAGTTATCATTAAGTTGTTGTAGTTTATTGTATACCTAATCTTTTCTTGATGATCATTAAGTCATAATATATTGCTTGCCCTAATGTGCCTTGTAACTAAAACCAATTGTTGTGAGTCTGATCTATATATTGTGAGAAATTAATAAATGTTTGTGTTGACCTTGAGACTTGTCTCACCATTGTCCACTCCACTGGGGAATTACAAATCTAAGTCACTTGTGCCCCTCTCCTGGACAGGATGTGACGTTTATCAAGGCTGATTTTCTTCTGACAAAAAGGCACTTTTCTGATTACAGAAAGGAAATCAGATAATAACAGAAGAGCAGGACCCCAGAAAATATCACAGCTGTCACTTAGAACTTGTCTTCACAGGGGCTTGTGCTGGAAATGGATTGGGTCAATTTGGCATACAGCATTTATATCACAATTAACATGCTCCATTGAGCTACTATATAATATTCTTCACATTTTAAATAATTTCTTGCTTAAATTCAAACATTGTGTTTCAAAGCCTTTGGGTTATTTTGGAGCTGCACATTATATTATTTTGCCTCATAATCCTATTTTCATTTTGTCAGGACTGCAGTGTAAGAAATAGTGAGTAATTAAGTACAGTGCTCTTAAAGTTCTTAATCCATGTTACTTAAACCAACTTGATTTAAACATCATAAACTTTTGTTCATCTTCAGGGTTTTATTTAAAAGTCTCTCGAAGCACAAAAGGATGTCCTCTTAGTTTCCAGTTGTATTGACTTATCCGTCTTGATAAAATAGCTATAAATAATTTTCTTTTGATCTTTATTTTTTTGTTTGAACAGATATCTGTCCATATGTTCCTGATGTTTTTTTTAATCTCTTGCTTTTTTAATTTTTGTGTTTGTCAAGGCTGACCACTGTTTGTTATTAGGCTGAACTGATTTCTTCTTCATCTTCCTCAGAGTCGGCATCATCGTTGTAGAAGTGAATTGTAGCTTGTACTGGAAAACTGGTCAGAACCTTCTCTCCGATGTTATTAAGAAACTTTTGGGATTTGGACTTGGGCAAATAAAGTCTAATAAGAAAACATATTTAAAAAAAGAAGTAAAACTATGTGATGCTTTTCCAGCTAAGCTAGCTTGAGTATTAAAACCTGTTTTATCTTTCTTTGGAGAGAGAAAAATCCTAGGGTTCCTTGGCCAGGGAGGTTGGATTAAATGATCTCCAAGGTCCCTTCCAGCCTAGGCCATTCTATGATTCTATGACTTTTATTTTAAAAGTTACTAACTAAAATGAACTGTTGATTTTAAGTTATCTTGGTTACTTTGGGCATATTGTGTATCGGATTTATCTAAAGTCCCACCAGGGCAGCAATGTGTGCTTCAGATGATTTGGTTTGTTTTTTAGCATAGTTTAGAATGGAAGTGTCCCATGAAACTAGGGGAAGTTTGAGCAATATTCTGAGACTCTGGAATTAAGACACCAGGTTAAGATTGAGGTGGGTTGCCTGTTGCACAAGATTGATTTTAGTGGATACTGTGTCTCCAGGTGGATAAGGAGGTGTACACTGAGATTTAATTCAAGATTCATATTGTTTTGTATTGAAATCATACATGTCTTAGTTTACATTTCAGGTTTTCACCAGCTAAAGCAAAGTTTATGTGGTCTGTATACATATGTGGTTTTGTGTGCATGCATAGATACATCTCTTCCTCATGGTTCCACTTTGACCAGTTTTCAGTTAAATTTGACAGTGATCAAGGTTACACAGAATTTATGTTTCTACAACTTCTATAAAATACATACTTGTAAAGAAGAGGGATATTCCATTAATTTTCCTGCTCTAAAAAAAAGCCCAGAGTTTCTACATCATTACGCCTTAAAGAATCCAAATGTTGGTGAAAACCCTTACAAATCCCTCAAGCATAGGAAACCTTTACCTGGAGTTCAGCTTTCATTCAAGAGCAAATTTAAGCAACCACAAGACACAGATCTGTATCAAGTCACATTCCATTAGCAGCTATTTGCATTAATTATTTGTGCTTTGTGGGCTTGTTATCATATCAATAAATGTAAATATAAATTAGATGAGAGAAAAGAACATGGTGTCCTTTAAGTTTACTTTTCTCTTACTTTTGTTATTAACATACAGTGAGTAATCTGGTGAGTAGTTAAAGTGCATTACTAAAAAGACAAACTGATATTTTTCCTGAAAAGGAATATGTCTTGTCTTGGAAAGTGTCACTTTTCCTGTATCAAATTATAGAATTTAACTCACCTCACAGGGTGTTGAAACCCCAAGGCTCCTTTTGATCTGAAATTTATTAGCTGACCATCCAGTTCTGACTGTAAAGAGACATATTTATTAATTAGAATAGGCCAAAAATCAAGATTTTACTTTTTTTTCTTCTACAGGACTATAAAGGTCTAAAGTAATGTTGCTTTGTTTGCTGTGCTGCACATTGTTTTACTCTAAGTGTACTTCAGAGAATTTATGTGCCCACAGTCCGCCAATAGTTCCACTTTTAACAAAGTATTTGAACTTGTACGTTTTATGAGCCATAAAGCTATAAAACTGTACATTTTGCTTAAGTTCTTATGGAATATCTATAGCAACTGGTGGGCTCTTAACACTACTAAATGGAAGTTCAGTGGTTAGAAGGAAAAGGGATTTTCAATCAGTTTAAAGGATTGGGAGGTTTTATAAAAAAAAACTTCTCTAACTACACTAACCAGTAGTTTGGAGTTGGGGTGTTCAAGTAAGCAAGCTTAATTGTGATCAAAGATCACACAAGTACATTAAGACTTCAAAGAGTAAAGTCAAGATGCAACTGGCATTTCAGATTTCTATTCAAACAACAATAAAAAAGCAAGTATTTTTGATACAACAGAGTAGGTAGGAAAAAGGTATTTTAAATATCAAAATGAAACTTACAGAAAAAAATCCTTTGGATTAGGGTGACGATGAAAAGCAGTAATTTGAAAATGTTAATGTTATTAAATCCTATGAGGGTTGTAAACCTGGAAGGTAAGCCTGAAAGCATCTCCCACAGTCACTGAGCCCCATCACTTAATCTTGTAGGCAGGTATTCTCTTCCATATCTTAAAAGAAGATTTTTTTTTCCTCCTGTTGCTGTAAACTTGACATTACATTAAATAGGAAGATTTAGCTTTGCTCTAAAAGACCTTCTGGTGAACGGCATCTAGAAACTGCCACAAACAGACAAAGCTTAGTTTTGCCACTGTCAGAGCAATTCATCTGTCTTTCTGAGGAAGCAGGCTTCAGCGTGGGTAGTTCGATGGGCCCCCAAAAGCTACCCCCTTGGGCTACAGACTGAGCAAGGGGCCCCACAGAATTCTTTCTGTACCTTTTATGTTCGCCTAGTCCTCTCATACCCACCTGTTTGTCTTCAGGCTGTCAGGGGTTTGTTGAGGATTTTTTGTGTTTAATCAGGAAACTTATTTACTTTGTTTCCACAGTATCTAATGAAATGGACTCCTGATCTGGCTGAACATTGCAGATATAATAATAGTATCTGTGTTAAATAACGTGTTATTTTTCTTCTTTCCTATTTATATTAAAATTAAAATTGTCTTTATTGTCCTGTATTTTCTACTGCCTTCTATTTGGAATATATTGGTTTTTAATAATTATATATATAATATTTCATATTATATTTTCTTATCAGACTGTAAGACAGCATTTCTGAAAAACAACTCTGATAAAAGCCAATTAATTGCAAAATCCGACTCAGTTTATATATAGCAGAAAATTTTCAGTGTTGATTTGCATTTTGTTGTAGATGTGGCAATAGTAACTTTAAATTACTTTTCAAGGCTTTTTATTGCATATAAATAATGATGTATTTGAATTTAGGTAGTAGGAAAAGTGTTACTTTTTATATAAGGAAAAGTATATTTTGTATAGGAAACTACAGGGTATATTCTAGCACATGTTCTTGGCAATAGAAGTAAAACTACTAGTTTTATTTTTTTTACCAGTACGTTTGTTTTCTAGTGCTTTGCCCTGCATCTCTCAGTTTCTCAGGTTAGATTAAGGTATGTGTATTTCTAAACATTTATTTTTTTTAGTAATAACACAGAAGATCTTGAAACTTTTGCTTGCTTCACTCCACAGTATTTGGAGTGTTTATCAGTCAAGCATTGGCACTTGTATTGATGCATTGCAGAAAATAACTAACTAGCAAAAACATTGTGCTCAGATGACCTTTGAAGGCCTCATGCTAGAAAGCTCAGTAGCTTTGCTGAAGAAACCTCTTGCCTTCCAGAGCTGTGGGATGTATGTATTTAGTAGCGAGCATCTCTTTCCACCTGTGCACCACAGAAAGTATCCAAGCATCATTCCTCAGTTGTTGTGACCCTGCTAAAAAGCATATGTAAGGGCTCCTGTAGCCCTCCTTCAAACTGCCCAAGCTACAGAGGCATCTAGGATACAGAGCCAGTGTGGGTGGGCAGCAGAGTATGGATGATAAGGATCCGAGAAGGATCTTCTGGCAGGAAGGAGACAATGTGAAAAAGTTGAAACCAACTGTTTCAGTTATACTTGGCTTGAAACAATGACAAGCTGTTAGCATGAATGAGGAAAACTTCATATATAGTTTTTTTTTCTCACACAAATAGGCAGAAGCCCAAGCGCGAATTAGAACTTTTGAGATTGTTGAATAAAATTTTCTATGACAACATAACCTCACTAATCCATCACAGCTTTCTGATTTCAGAAACTTTAGTAAACATGTACTCCCATGAGAGTAAGACTCTTCTCATCCTTAGAAAATTTACAGGTGCCTCTGGCAAAGCTTGGAACGCTGCTGGGAGGGATGTTCTTCCGCAGGCTTTCCTGCGGCATCTACCAGGAGGAGTCTGGCACTCCCTCAGTTCTGTACAGTTACAGCCTCCATCATCAGCAGTCAAAAAGTACAAGGTAAAAAGATTTTGCTAGTGTTAGAGTATAGCAGAAATTGTGAATTTTTAAACGCTTGCACTAAGGAGTGCTGTTGCCCAAACCTGCAGAGCTGTTGGTAAAAAGCTGAAGATGTGACTGTGGACTGGATACCACAAAAGCTGAGGCAGATGCTTCAAACTAAGCATGGAAGTGGCACTATTTCAATGCATTTTTTAAAGTTCACAATATTGTGGCCTATGTTAAATGTGCTTCAATCTCTCTTTGAGCCTAACAGATCTTCCTACATGAGAAAGTAAAACTGATAAATCACGGTGCCTCTCAAAGGTATTTGGCGGCAAGAGCTACTTTAAAATCCAAATTTCTGTGGATTTCCTAGCTGGTTTAGCTATAGCAACATCCCTCACAGAAAGCAATCAATGAAGCTGTGCACCCGAAAGTATGTTTTTTAAATTCAATGTTAAAGTAATTTTTACTGAAACTCCCCTTATATCCAAAATAACATGTACAGACGAGGCTTGGAAATTTAAAAATGAGGATATACTTGTTTTTATAGATAAGCAAATAAAAGCTGCTCTTAAAATAAATGTTGTTTAGAGTGCTTTCTGCAACTCTTTAAGAATTGATAATGATTCTATGTATGATACAAAATTACTCTTAACCACTATCATGTACAGAACTGTAATATAATCATATTTTCTAACACAGAAGTAATACTTGAAGAGGCAAATGAATAGATGACACTTCCTATGTTCAAACAGTTTCAATTTCTGCACCTGTTTTCTATAAGGATTATTTTCTCTAGAGTTTAGTCTCACCATTCGTTGATTCTCTGTCATCTCACCATCTCTTCCTGTGAGCATCCAGGGCCTCCATAAAGCAGAGCTGCTGAAAGATTAAGACAGAATACCGCTCCTACAGTTAATTCTTTGTGATAATATCTGTACAGTACAGCTCCTTTTGTTAGATTCTGCTGGTGTCTTTTGAAATAACATGTTTGTTTTCTTTTCAACACATTTTGATTTGGTAAATCTGATTTCTATGGCAGTATTATTCTGTCTTCTGTCTATGATCTGATTAAACGAATTAGACAATTGTTTGCACAATGTTAGCTAAGGTGTCATTTCCCTTTAAGATTTCACAACACAAAGTGAATGCCCGGAACTCCAAATGATGATGTGATTAATACTGAAATCTTTTTAGTTATGCAGCGCTGCTAAAAAATAAAAAGTAGCTCTCCCTCTCTGACAGTATGTCTAAATACAGATTTCATGTCATCATTGAGCGGCTGGTCATTTATTGAGTAAGCAATTCCAGCACTAAACTGACATGGGCAATTTGATCTAATTAGCTAAAGAGAGCACAAAAAGTGGTGGATGCTACATCTGCCTTTTTTTTTTGCTGAGGGGACAACAACTGCAGATGCCTTGTTTACCAATGCTTTCCATCTCTGCAGGTGTGTAACAGATCCATACAGTCAGAGAAATGGAAATGTGCTTTCAGATAAGAAAGGCAAATAAATTTCAATACAATAATAACAACTCGCAGTCTAAATTTTCATTTAGTTCCTTTTATAAGTAAGTTCTGAAATATTTGACCGAAAGGTTAAAATATTGGCAAAACGACTAAACTACCTGTTCCAAGTGAAACCTTTTCAGAACTGAATTTTGCCCTTCTGAAGTTGAATGTTGTTTTCTGTTGTCTATTCAATGCTGAAATCATTATGCTCAAGTGATACTTGCAGTAGGAGTTTGGAAAGGAAGGCTGCTGACCAAAAAAAATCTCCCTGCCCCTGCCTTACCTCTCTGGGTGCTCCCTTGGCCAGGGTGGGTGCCGCTGCCCGGCTCGGTGACGGACGGGTTCCCTGGCAGCCTGGAGTGGGAGAGCCCCAGCTGCTCCCTCCATGGCATCCGATGGTCTAAAGGCTGTTGTGCCAGGCTGGGTGCTTGCCCGGGCCTTTCAGCCCCTCCTTTAGCTTACCTCTCAAAGATTACTCACCTAAAAACAAACACGGCCTCAGGTAAAAGGAGAGAAACGTCCTTGATGAGGTGTCTTTTGACTCGCCCCAAACAGTTCAGAGATAAGGGCAGGCTGGCCTGGGGAGAGCACTGCTGGGGAAACAGGGGCTTTTTGTTCAGTCTGAGTAGCAAACAGCGTGGAAAATAATCCGTGCCCTTTGTCTTTCTGTTGATCTTTTACAAAATCCATGTTTGCTCCATATGAAGTTTCAAAATATGTAATACATGCTTTAAGCCTATAAAGAATGAATAGGAACAAACTTCTTCTGAGCTTTCTTCCCACTGTTTTTGTTCATAACGTGCTTTACTTGGTGCCTGTTAAATCGTACAAGAACAGTTTATTAATCCAGTGGATGACATTATCTGATTTTCATTGCTGTGGTTCATTGCTACAGTTCACACTGTTTCCTTCATTTCCCAATTACTACAAGGATGTAAGAACCTAAAGCTGAATTTGCTTTTCCACCTGTGCTGTTTACACGTTGACATCAAAGGGAACAGATTCAGCTCCCAAATATAATTGGTTTCTGCTGTGAACTTTCTTCCCAGACAGAGGAAAATAATTTCGTTTACTGAACAGGGAATGTCCATTGACTATTTAGTATGAATTAGGCCCCTTCTAGCTGATTTAGCTGAAGGAACCATTAAAACTGTCAGTCTGAGAGGACGCTGAAAATTCTCGGTGGGAGTCAGGCAAACAAGGTAAGCCTTGTGGCTCTTTTTCAAGTTCTGCTCCAGCTGGAGGTAGCAAGTGTCCAGTCAGCAAGAAGGGGCTGGGCTCATAGATAAAGACCACTGGATGTATTCCCCTGGAAATGTCATTTCCCGCTGAAATTGTTTGGTACTAGAAAACGTATGTATACCTTTGCACATCCGTTTTTTCATGCATTCTACTGATTCCGCTTAAATTCAAATGTCTTTCTTCCAACAGATTTGAAAGTCAGACTGATTTTCCTACATGGATGCAAGTTGTATGGTTGGGTTAGACACGTGGGACTCCGAAGGCTGCTAAAAGTAATGGTGAAACACAGGTTCTGATGCTTTTGAAGTAGTCTTCAGTAACGGAATCTGACATTACATTTGTTGAGGTCCATTTCATACATAAATTTTTCTTGTTCTTTGAAACATCCCCTCTTGCTGTGACAGATAGACATGTTTTAAAACTCAATAGCCAAAGCTGTTTAATGTTTTGGAAAGCACTGACAGTATGTAACAGAGGACTTCTTACAGTCTAAATCTACTCCCTCCCATGTATAAATACTGTGTGATATTTGTAAAGTTGTAACTAAATAAATGATGCCATATCTCACAGATGAAAATATATGTACAATCTCAATTGCTTTAAATGTTTATGTATCAAAATCAGTACAATTAATAGAATGAACATGATTAACAATATTCAAACTATAAAAAAAATATATAAATATATATGTAAGTAGTAGCATGGGTCCTGAGAAGAAATGGCAAACTTCTTAAGTAACTAAAATTGTAATTAAATATCTTGCTGAATTACAGTCTTAAATACACATATATAATTTCATCAGCTTAGTTTTATTTGGACCTAATTTAACTTGATAGTTGAAAGGGAAGTGTGCATTACACAACTGATGTCAATGGTTGTGATCTTGCAGTCGGATCTGTTTGTGAGGATAACCTCCGGATAGAATCTGCCAACATGGATATGAGTGCAGGACTAAAGCCTAAACTACTAAGAGCTTTTTACAAGACACAAAGCTACCCTCAAATAAATTTGTCAGTAAAGCCCTGTAAGTCCAAATTTATTACAAATTAAAATATTTTGTTAATAAGGCTATAATGTAATCTAATATAACTGTATGTAACACTAGAAAATAAGTGAATATTACATTATTGTACTAATTAATTGAAGCACACAACATTAACTAGTATTTTCATGGAAATCATTAGCTAAAATCAGGTTACAGATCTGTGGAAAATGGTTTATTCCAGTAAAATATGAGCAGCTCTAATAGTGTATGATCCCTAGTTTCTAAAGTAAATAAAAAAAAGTGGTGGTTGGCCAGTCATAGATGTCTAATTTTAAGACCTATATTACTTTTTGCAATATACTTAAGTTTAATGCAGCATGCTATATTTGGTAAGTAAACTTCACAGAATCAGAATACACTGGTTCTATTGCAGTTGCTCATCCACTTTTCCCAGAAGCCAGGAGTATTTTTCAGGCTTCTGATACTACCTGAGTATAACTTTGACAGACTTGGTTCTTACAAAGATATGCGCCATAAGATAATTATTTTGTGTACATTGGAAGACGTTTTTTATCTTTGTGGGAAACCTGTTTTCTCAGTTTTCTCATGAAAGCTCTTGCGCATTTGCAAGAATAAAGAGTGTTCAATGTAAATTGGTATAGTCAAGGAAACAGGATAGGTCTACAGCATTTATGCTTCTGAATAACTGCTATTAAACATGACATAGGCGTTGTAGCCACTAACAGCATGCAAAGCTCCTCAAAGAGAAGTTGTTGGAAAAGCTTTTAGGGAATAAAGGGAGGAAGAAACTGAGCCATTTGCAAAGCACAGCAAGGCCAGTCTCATAATATTTATTTAAAGTCAAAAATAGGCGCTCATCTATGCTGAGCTTACGTGCTACAGTTGGCTCCCCTGCTGTCAGCGGCCTCCTTTAGGAGCCAGATCCCAAGTGGACTGTTCGAAGAGCTGAGGGAGATTTATCCCCCCTAGGCTGAAGCTGGCCTTTCTCTCCATTGTGTGTGTGTGTGTGTGTATTCTCCAAGACTGCAGGCAGACATTCAAAAATTTATTCACTTTCTTCAGAGTTTTTCAGATTCTCTTTAAGCAATTTCATGTATGTGTGCGTGTGTGTTCAGCATCATGCAACATCTTTCTGTAGTCTTTTCTCTATAAGGAAAATCCAATTGTTCTGGGAAGTCTGAGGCTAATATTACTCACTGTTTCTTTCCAAGGCTTCCTTCCACTGTCCTTTAAGGAGGAACTGATTGACATAGTTATTTTAGAATATCTATTTTAGAAAATTTCCTGATGCATACAAGGCCTTGGCTTCACAATAATTTAAAAAAGATAATGTTTTCCAATCTAAAATTCTTAACCTTTTAATCAGAGATTGCCATGATTAAGTCTAAGCTACCCTATAGTAGAAACTAGAAAACCTACAGCAGCTTTATAGCTTCAAATTATTCTAAATGAGAAAGTTTGTCTTAAAATGGTGACTGGTTTTGCCTGTATAATGTTCTGCTTTAGATTCCCTTGCATCATCATGTTTTAATTCATTTTTATTTATTTACTCATAAACATCTCCAGGGTAAGGGAACCTTAAAACCAAAAAAGAGCATCATATAGTTGACTGCATTCAATACCACTACAGGATTGAGCAAAGCATGCTCCTTATTGTGCAAAGGTTATATAAACAGTTGTGTTCTGTGGTGTGCTCTGAAGGTCAGCAGTGCATGTACTGTTACAGAGAAAGTGAATTCCAAAGTTGAGAGCTTCTTTTGAGGTTGTATACTTCGCTTGTTTTCTTTCTTTTGATGTGCCTGGGTAAGTATTTCGACTTCCTGCATATGATAAAGTCACACAAAAGAACAATTTATAATGCCAAGTTAAGGCCACTGTTTTCCTCTCTATATGGAGGATGTCCAGGATATGGCAGCCGCACAAGGCTCATATTTCTTAAGCTTGAGGTGGAAAAGGAGAATTATTTAAACTGTTTGACCCTCTGGCTGAAACCGTTACCTGCTTCTGCCATGCTTTGTGGAGGTCAAAATTACATCAGCGATTCGTACAATTTTGGATAAGCTTCTGCTGTGGGAGCAGACTTGAAGAAGTAAAAATGTCTGTCATAGAACTTGTGGTGGTTCTTCGCTCCAAAATGTGCAGGGCCAGTTTATTCCTTCTTTATTTACAAAGCCAGCGTATTGTTGCTGGAGATCCATTTAGGAAACTGTTCTAGAACACATATTTCAGTAAATTTCCAAGTGCATATAAGGCCTTGAGTTCAGAATACTACGGAAGAATGTAGCTTCACAACCTGTTCAGGAAACAATTCTCATGTACCAGTCAGCTGCAACCTGAATGTTGCAGTTTTATCTTTTTTTATTCTAGCCTTCTTGCATTTTTCCTCTTGCCTTTTTTTTTCCTTCTCTTTTCACTCATGTACTAAATATCTGCTAGGAGCAGACTGATGTATGTTGTCTCTTCACAGAGCTCAATGTTGTGACAACCTTCCATATAAAATAATTAAATATCTAAATTATTTAATAACTTTTGTGCATGTACCAGAGGAGAAGAGGATACCTTATTACCTCAGTTGCATCTTCTGTAGTGGCAAGTTGTGTTTGCAGCACACACGGCACATGAAAATCACACAGTTTTATTTCCTGACAGGTTATTCTTCACTCAATGACCACGGCTTCAATGACCAGCCCCAATGAGCACTGACTTCATCTTTCTTGTTTGGTGAATTTAACGAATACGCTGAAATCAAATGCATCCATTTGTGCCTGCTTTGCCCTCTGGTGGCTACTCTGGAAGAGGTATGGGACCTGGAGACTGATGTCTTCATCTCGTTCTGTGGTGGAGGGGATACTGCTCCTCTAGGGTACCATGGACCTTCAAATAAGGTCAGGTGGCAGTGTGGAGCTGTTTGTGAGGAAGATGAGATCCTTCCCTGTTGCTGCATGGAAACAAATAATCATAGAATCAAGGAATCATAGAACCGTTCCGGTTGGAAGAGACCTTCAGGATCAAGTTCAACCTTTGTCCTAGCCCTATCAACACCACTGAATCATGTCCCTCAGCACAACATCTACCCATCTCTTAAATGCCTCCAGGGATGGCGACTCAGCCACCTCTCTGGGCTCACTGTTTTGCCTAC